TTAAAAATATATTAAAGCTAACACATTTAATAATTATATAAAGATAAAAAAATTAAAACTATATGAACTAGTTTAAATCATTCAAAAATAAAAAGTTAATATATTGATGAATTTAAGAATTTATGTAAATATGAAATAAAGTTAACCAAATTTAAAAATATATGAAAGCTAACACATTTAATAATTATATAAAGATAAAAAAACATACAGGTAATTAAGTTAAAGATGATTTTTTTTTTAAATTAAATAAAAGTAAATAATTAAATATACAATAAATTCAATTAAAATTAAATTCAAGAAAAATATAAAAATATATTGTGGACTTATACAATATATATGATATAAATTTAAAACTAAATAAAATATAAAATTAATTTAAACTAAATTAAATTTTTAAACTAAATTTAAAAACCCAATCAAGCTCGTTGCAATTGCAAGCGAACCATCTGAAAGGTTTTATGAGGTTTGACAGGGCCCCAACTAGGTAGCATTATAAATCGTATTTTCGTCCATTTAGTTCGATTTGCAATTTTGTTCAGTTTCTCGCATAAGAACGAACAGCAGGCGGGCAGCTGCACAGCCCAACACCCTCTCTGCTATCTTCACACCAGCTAATGCCTCAGCCCATCGATGATTGTGTGTGGGTTCTAGTTTATGGCAAACGCAGTTGAACCTGCGTCGCAAGATCGAAGATTGTCATCGTTGGGTTAGTGCATTAAATGTGGATTTTTAGTGCTGCACATTTCAAATTCAATTGCAAACAAACCGTGTGAACCTTGCCTGTGTGTGTGTGAGTGTTTGTGCAACTTGCTGCTGTTGCTGCTACTTTGGCTTATTGTGGGCTGTCTGTGCAGCAGGTTTGTCTCGTGTGTTTTGTTTGGGTTTCTCTCTTTTTTATGTCTTTGCGCGCGCTAATTTGCGCAAATCAAACAACAGCCCACAAGAGCAACGAAAGAGCCAAAGACTCAACCTGTTTTTGCTTTGCTTTTGCTTTTGTTGTTTTGGGGCACTGCGTGCAGTTGTAAAAACACCTGCTACAATTGATTAAATCACAGCGATTTATTATTAAGATTTTTTCGAGTTTCTTTTTTTTTTCCTGCTATGCCTTCGAAGAGAGGAAAAGGGGAAGTGGGGGGCAAACCACACCACACAATGAATAACTATAAAAATCGAGGTTGATTGATTTTCGAGGTCTTGTCGAATCTGGCTCTGTGGGTGTTCCCGACGTGAGGTTCAATTCGCTGCTCGGGCCTATTTGGCTCAGACACTGCGGCTACCAACCAGATTGTGCCGTTACTTCCAACTCATTTTGCATAAATCAATTGGCTGCCTTTTTGCGCAATAAACTCTGGCACGTTCTAAGGCGTTAATTGGGCTGTGTATTTGCATAAGAGATTTACATAAACGAAATCTTGTGGGTTGACTGAATTGAAGTCTATTTGAATGAAAGTTGATTTTCGATTGATTATGTGGACGTGATTAGATGAGATAATATGAAAATTTAGTTTACAAAAAAGTATGTGTAAACGATATTTAGGGAAATTCGATCAAAGTTGGTACTAGATTTATAAATTAGATATATAAATTATCCTAAGTTTTACTTATGCATAGGGTAGCATGTGATTGCTTCTATTCTTATAACATGTGTAAAGTTAAAATAATAAATCATTATTATAAGA